GCACAACCGGCCCAAGGAGAAGTCTAATGATGGGTCTAAAATTGCACTGGCGGTGGTACTGCCGGCGCTACTGGATCTGTGCCCGTACCAGGTGTTTGCAGCCAACCACCGGGCGTGAAATCACAACCACCAAGCCTGAAATTACCAGACCTCATTCAAGGGTCGAAATCCGCATCCCTAGCCCCAGACCGGTCTGAGAAAAAGTCCCAGGGTCGAAGGGTACAGGACTGGGGGTCAAATGAAGCAACATACACAGGGCCTCCATGAGAGAGAGTTGACTCTTGAAAACTGAAGAGTCAGGCTCAATGAACTGGGGAAAAGCAGACGAGGCGCCGGCCGGAGGTCCACGCCGGAGATTCATCAGCAGCTGTCGATCAGATGCAAAAAAGAAAGCAAGGGTTGCCTGGGTTCTTCCAGAAGAATCGAGGGCCTACTGGGTCAACGCGATCCCTGAGGTAAACAGCACATCTGGACCGTCGCAATCGAGAAATCTCCACCGTTGGAGGACTCCGAGGCAACTGGAGGCAGGCCAGGACCACATGCGGCCTCCTCTTCCAGTGTTCGAAGCCCGTCAGGGTTGCGCTTTATGCCCTTGAGAGACCTTAAATGTCAATTCAACTTTCAACGTCCGTGGTCGTTCAGGAGGGTGAGCAATTTTGAGGTGAGGGCTTAGCAAGGGGCGGGGCATGTGAAGGACCGGTAACTACCCGTAGGAGGCTGAAAAAAGAAAAAGAAAAAAAAAAGGAGGCTGAGGAGGCCGCGGTCCCTTGAGTTGCACGTTTCATAATCAAAACGGCGTGGGAGGCCGAGGAGGATTTCGAAATCGAAATGGTGTGGGTCCAATTTTCTCGAATAGAAGTGCACTTTGTACGTCTTGCATAGGAGTACAATTCGTTTTTTTTTTGTTTTTTTTTTTAAAAACAACCCCCTCCAGTGCTAGTGGTGCTGGTACAAGCAGACACCACTAGCACCTGGGGGGCGGCTCCATCTATTGGTGGGGAGCGTCACCTGCTGGAAAACAGGTCCAGCGTCCCTTATACAATCTGAAAATGGATACATCGGAGAAGCATTGTGAGAGAATTCCTGCCAGCATTGATTACCCTGAGCTCCAGGGGATTGACTGAGCAGATTGTTAGGAGGGAAGGGGAGCCTCTTCATCCAGAAACCGATGCCTGATACATCGCTACTCACTAGTTCCTCCTTTCTCCTGAGCCATGTGGAAACCATGCTACCTGGGAACCAAGTCCAGAGACCCATGTACCCTTTCTATTCGAATTTCCAGACAGCGTTGGAAGAGGGTTGGAATGGGGGTGGAAAAGAATTGCAGCAGGGATGGAAGAGGTTTGGAATCGGACTGGCAAAAAGAATTGCAAGAGGACTCAGTCTGGAAGAGGGTTTGAAAGCGACTCGAACAGGTCTGCAACTGGAACAGCATTCAATTTGGAAAAATGGGACTGGAACAGGCTTGGGACACTGGAACAGGCTTGGGACACTGGGACAGGGTTGGAAAAATGGGACTGGAACAGCAATGGGACTGGAACAGCAATGGGACTGGAACAGGCTTGGAACACTGGGACAGGGTTGGGATGGAATAGGGTTGGAAGAGCGCTGGAACAGGGTTGGAACAGGGTTGGCGAAAAGCGCTGATTCTTGAGCAGAAATGGTGGATTCTCGTCTGCACGGGGAAGGACTGGAAGTGGTTGTTTGTTCTAGCCTTGTAGGGCAGACTCACATTTCGACTTTTTCTGTTCAGCTCTGGACGTGATTGCGCCCTGGTTCGTGCTGGGTGGAATTGCAGTCAGATAACATTTTGGCAAGTGCTACGGGTAGTGTGAGTATATGCCCTCAGCGTCCGCATCCCAATCTGTGTTCCCTTGGGCGACAGCCGACAGAGCAGCACGTGCTGGGAACCGGGCCCAGCGTCCCATATGAACAACCTACCTTAGGAGGAGCGGAATGTTCGTAGGTTGAGTGTATTGTCACTATAATTGTGTTAATTGGGCTCAGATTGCACTGAATGCTGCAGGTGTGTTCGTGTTCCAGTTGAATAGAGTTTGAACTCGTGTTCCATAGGGGATAGGTCAGCTACCGTCTTCACCCGAATAGAACGCCTATTCCCAGTAATTCTATCGGTATCTAGACTGAAAGCTTCCCTAAATACAGCTATAGCGACCGGGTGTTCTATTCGGGTGAAGACGGTAGTCTTATTCAGTCGAATAGAGTTTGAACTCGTGTTCCCTAGGGGATGGGTCCGCTAGCTGTCCTCGTTGCAGTTATGAATGGCCTTAGTCAGTTGATGGCCATATGAAGGAGCGTTCAAAGGAAGAGGTCTTACTGCAAAATGGTTAATTTCCACAAAATGGTTCCACTGCAAGGAGATAATCAAGGAGAGGAGCAATCAACCAGATTGCAACATCTGACAGAAGACTAGACAATGTAGACATAATTGAGCCAAATTGAAAGAAGTGATATTGCTTGAAACAAACAAACAAAAAAAGAGAACAGTGAGCACAGCAATAATTTAACCACATTGCAACATCTCAAGGCGAAATGCACACCAAATAGGAATGAGGAATACACTTTAGAGTCTCTTGATAAAGAAAGCCCTTTACTGCCTCCAATCATCAAAGCGACTGCAAATGTATCTTCCCTGCGAGCGTCCAGAACGCTCATTCTACTTGCTAGCTCCTAGTCATCTAGCCTATCTACATGCCAGCAATGGTTCGTGCGTCAATCGCCTGATGCCACTTGAAGACCCTGGTCACACAGTCTGCGATCCTCAACACCAGATACATGCCTCGTTCCCACTGCCTCCCTTCTTTCTTCCTTCTCCCCACTCAGCAAGTCTGCGCCCAGCCAGCTATGGCTGCCGCCTCTCCTTTCCAGCCGCCACCTAGGCAGCTTCTTCCCGACGGGCACTGCGCTCTTCCACCAGCACCTCCAGGACTCTAGAGCCGCCTCTGCTCGAATGTCTGGGCGGGGAGGCATCTCCTCTGCCTTTGCACTGGTTGCACTGGATGAGGAGGCTGCACGCAGTCCTTGCCTGAAGTGGAGATCTCTTGATCCTCGTGGCCAATTGCTGTCGACTGCAGGGAGTGTTGCAGTGGATGAGGAGCGTTCAGCACCATTGATTCCCTTCGCCATAGCAGGCTAGTAGCAACTAAAGCAAATGCCTCAAACCAGATGTCTTACACATGCCAGCTGAGCCACACTTGCAGCGCCTGCCCAAAGCACGACCCAAAGTTACTTCTGCATCGCTGTTCCTACGAGATCCTCTCAGTGCAAGACTACCGTCTTCCCCTGAACACAACGCACCCTCATTTTGGCCGTATCTGGCCGGAAATATAGCTTGTATACATTCATTTTTAGGGTGCGTTGTGTTCGGGGGAAGACGGTAGAGGAGCTCGAAATTTGTGGCTAATCACTCGACAAAACGTTGAAGGCGAAACCCTCAACACACCGAGGTGCAACACACCGAGGCGCTCACCACTTGTGGTGAAGCCCCCGAAATAACAGCAAAGGCAACTGTTACACCATTCGCGGACTGAAGGAGAACACAACACAACTTCGTACCGTTTTCGGCATGATTGCAGTTCACTAAGTTCAGCCCCGGAGATTCCAAGTCTAGGTCGCAAGCAGTTAGAATCTGATGTTTTCTTTGGCACAGTGACTCGGGTTTTGTTGTCAAGATAAGGCTTGGGCAAGAACAACGCAGTTTTACTTTCTGCAGGTGTCCCATGTGTCCACCAGCTGCTACCAGACTACTGCACAGCCCTCTTGCATACTGGGACAGTCTACAAGAGGGCTGTAAGACGCTCAGCAACCCTCTTATATACCAGAGCGATCCAAGGACACTGTCAGAAGTGGTGGAGGTGGTGGCTAGATCTCCTATTGAATCGCTCTCTGAATATCTCCCATTCAAGTTATATGGTGCAAACCTCACTGCTGACACTGCAGGTACACACAAAACCTCCCCCAAAGTTCATCCTCTCTCTCTCTCTCTCTCTCTCTCTCTCTCTCTCTCTCTCTCTCTCTCTCTCTCTCTCTCTCTCTCTCTCTCTCTCTCTC